TTTTGACAAGTCCTATATGACTTGTAAGCATTTTGTTACATGTGTATTAATTAAGAACAATGTTATATAGTCGATATTTGATTGTAGAAATAATAACAATGTTGATAATATAACATGCATATGTATTAGTAATTTGTTTGGTATTTGCAATTTTAATAAGATGTGATAATTCTGCAATGATAAGTTTGGTTTGTTTGGCTTGTTTGTTATTAAGTGTAAACTAGCATCCAAGAAATTTGAATAGTTTGTTTGATAAATGAAGATTGAGAGAATAGTCATTATATATAATAGAGATATAGTTAATTTGTTTGTTATTAGTTATAAGTACAGATTTGGAAAGATTAATTTGTATATTAGCTATATTAAAAAATGATTCAGTTGCAGAAAGGATTTGTGATAATTCTTGTTATAAGAATGCAATCCAAAGAATATTATCTATATAGGCAAGAACTGAGCAATATGAACTAAGCTTATTATATATTTAATGTTTTAGATTAGTTAGCCAAGAGACTTGTGTAGTATAGTCTTTGAAATTGTTATAAATGTATGAGATAAGTGGGACATAGTAGATTCTCCATAAGAAAGAAGTGATAGTTTCATCCTGATCAATGTTATTATATATAGGGTATAATAAAATAAGTTCAAGATTTGTAATAATTTGGTTTTGTCGATCATGAAGGATGTTAGTAATAGTATTTATTATAGAGTAATGAAGGATAAGGCATTGTAAAGATTTTTAAAAAAGAGTAAGATTAACTGAGTCATATACTTTACTTATATCTTAAGATAAGAGAAGTTAGATATGTTTTAAATAGATTGATTATAAGTTTTATATTAAATATTTTATTTAATATTAAAATTTTTGTTAATAACAAAAATTAAAGTATATGTATTATAAAAAAAAGAATTAAAAATAATTATAATTATACAAAAAACTCCCAAAAATCAAATATATTGATATGACATGTTATTAATTTTTTTGGTTATTATTTTTATTTTTTTTATAATAGAAAAACAAACCAATATTTTATAAAATTTGTATAGTCAGCTCATATATGATTTGCAAAATAATAAATTATTATACTTGGTTTTTTAAACATGAAAAAATTTATACATTTTTTTTGAACTATTATATTATATCATTTTTACTAAAATGTACTTAGTGTTTATCAGTGTTCATATTATTTCACTAACAATCACCACAGACAACTTAGTTTACAAACAGACAAAGTTTATTTTACCAATACTTAATTCACAAACAAATTTATTTAACAAACTGTACATTTATTAACAGCTAATTTTCCTAACATGTTTTTTTTTATTTATTGCATGAGTCTTATGTGACAATCTGTAATTTTTTTTTTACTTATTGGCACAGGATTGTTACATTAGTAGAATAAAAGGCATAGTAAAATTTTAGAACATGTTCCTAAGCAAAGGCATGTCTTTCTTATTGTGCCTAAGACATCCTTTAATATATAAATTATTAATATACACTAAGCTAAGAAAGAATACCATTATGCATATATTATAAGAAATTCCTTGTGTCAAGAAAATTCTGAGCTGCCAGCCGAAAAAATATGGGTTGTAGTATATCAAAAACTCTCTATATATCTAACATTAACAATTGTGTCTTATAAGTAAAATTTCATTCTAAAAACTTTTACTGAGAGATCGGAAGTTAGTCATTTATGTTTTTTTACAATTTCTTATGTTTTTAACGTTTGTTTTGTTACACGAGTTCATGGGTTGGAAGTGATATAAGGGTATCATAGTGTGAGCAGTAGAAACGTGATCCCGGAAGCTCATAGGCAGAAATTCGTCTGATTGGCTAATGTAAATCAATTGCCCAGGTAACTTATTTATGTGTTTTAGAGTACTTTTTGCGAACGCAACATTACACAAGTAACCATTCTTAACAAACATCATCTTTAGCTTCTAAGAAGTACTAGAAAGCTAACTTTTAAAAATAATCTCTAATAATTTCTAATTTAAGAAGGGTTGGCTTAAACAAGACTTTCCGCAAGAGGTAAAGAAAAAAAGCTACATCTAAATTTTAAAAGGCACAAAAACAAAAGTAGTTATTAACAAAGCAGTTGTCTTTTTTCTTAAAGCTTGAGATTTCAAGCTTATTCATGTATAAGGTCTATGCTTTATATTTAAGATATTTTAAGTCGACTTGGTTTGTTAAAGTGCATGAATATATTAACTATAGATATCAACCTGGGTTTATAGATAGTATTAGTGATTCGAGCTTTGTTTTACCATTTTGACTCTACTCTATATGCATCTATCTATCTTTTATACGTATATAAACCAATAAATCATACGTATTTATTTATCGATTTGTATAAACTTTTTCTTGAAGTTTTCGCTTTTAGAACTGTAATATTATAAAAATAACGAATTGCAAATTGTATGATTTGATTGATTTGATTGATTTGATTGGCTAATAATCACATGTAAATCTACAAATTGATCTACGAAGCTAGCCAATCAGACAAATTTCCGCCTATGAATAAGGGTATCCATATAGGCATAATTTACCAGCCAATCATGATCATATTTATGATAATTCTTTCTATAATTACATGATAGGGGCATGCCTCTATACGTCAGACACCGCGCAATAAGATAGTTACTGTATGGGTATGGGTATGAGTTACTTACACGGGTTCAGATTTAAATCCCGTGCCTTCGGCACGGAATATGAACTCGCATGTAACACTACATACCCATACAATAAATATAATGAATTGAACTAACCTAACTCTACAATGACTAGAATTACGTGCAATTAAATAACTAAATTGTCGGCGAAGTGATTTTCGGTGATTTGATTGCCACCCGTAGAAACTTCGTTAAATTAATTAATTTGAATTAGACTTCACTAATACAAAAATTTTGAGGAAGCAATACTGTGATGGATAAAAAAAAAAAAAAAAAAGGGCTGGTTTAAAATGATATTCTGATAATGTACATGATCAGAAATTAAAAATGAAGTTTTTTTAGTAATAATTTTAATGACCGTTGCACAACGGTTTCCTGAAAGAAAATTTCGAGTATATATATAAATGCTGGGGCTTTTAACTATATAACGTACCGATCAGCAATATATAGTAATATCAAATTTTTTCAAAGTCTCGCTAGCACTCATATAAAGAGCATACGTATGAACCTCTAAAAAAAAAAACAACTATGTCAATTAGTATTTTATCGTTCGGGTTATCTGACATACCCTCTCTCTTAATAATTTTTATAATCAGCTATGTAACTCAATTCTATTATCGTTATTTCACTCGGATAAATCCTCTACCAGGTCCTATCCCACTTCCAATTATTGGTAATATTCATCAAAAAAGCGGATATAGTTTAGGCGATTGGTATAAATTATTGCACAAACAATATGGTGACATGTTTGAAGTAAATTATGCTGGGCAACGTACAATCGTATTATGTAGACCAGATTTAATTGAAAATATGAATACAACTTCAACAAAAACTAAATATCCTATTAGATTTAACAATACTGAAGGACTTGTTGAATATGGAATTAGTGCAGTAGGAGTAGGCCATAATAATAATCCAAAATCTTGGAAATTTCATCGTCAATTTTTCACTCAGTCTATGTTAACACCAAGTTTTAGTCATCAAGCTGTCGAATGGACAAATGAATTATGGAAAGAAATGGAATCTTATTGGAATAAACTTGATGAAAGTGATGAATTAGATATTACAAAATGGATGCATAGATTTACAAATGAAATTATTTTTAAAATTGCAACTGGTGTAAAAAATAATGCTGTTGCTGCTTATCATCATATTGTTGTTGTTCCTGAAAGTATTAAGTCTTTAAATGAAAATGAACAAGAAAAATTGAAATATTCTGAAAATTTTGTTCAATCTATCCAAACTTATATGGGTGGTATTGGTTATTTCTTTGTTTTTAATAAGTTTATACGTAATAATTTTCCGTTTATTCGTGGAAAAGTAAAGAGTCTATTAAAAAATAAGGACGATCTTTTTGATAAAATAAGTAAAATTATCAAAGAAAGAAGAACTGAAATTGAAAATACACCATTAGATCAACCGCTTCGTCATGATTTGTTAACATCACATATAACCGCAAATACTCCACGTGATATAAATGTTATTAAACATAGTGACGATGTTGATATATCGAGACCAATGAATGATAAAGAGATTTTTGGTAATATATTTGAGTCGATGATCGCAGGAACTGACACTGTAAGTAAATTTTTATTTTTTTTTAAAAAAAAAAAAAAATCATATATAAACTTATATTAAACTTATATTTAAATTTATATTAAATTCATTTATTTAAAAATTATAGTCTGCGAATATGTTTTGTTTTATCGTATATTATCTCGGTCATCATCCTGAAGTAAAAAAACGTTTAAGGCAAGAATTCGATGAAGTTTTTGGAAATAACTTGACAAAACCTATAACATATAAAGATCTTGAAGAATTACAATATTGTGATGCAGTTATCAAAGAAGTAAATCGTCATAATCCTGTAGCCTTTATGATCGGTCGCGTAAGTACCGAAAGTGATAACGTTGGAGGATACGAATGGCCAGAAGGAACTGTATTTCAAATGTATTTTGGCTCAATAATGAAAAGTAAAAATTATTGGACCGATCCTGAAAAATTCGATCCTGACAGGTTTTATAAAGTTGAAGAAAGTGATAAATACTTACTTGAAAAGAAAAAAATTCAAAATACTTATTCTATGTTTGGAGGAGGAATTAGAATGTGTCCTGGAAGAAAATTGGCAATTATAGAATTAAAATGTTTAATGACATTAATTTATAGAAATTATGATATTGATTTGGTGGATATTAACGCACCACTTAAACGTGATTCTGGTTTTATTAATTCTTGTCGTGAATTAATGGTTAGGATTAAACCAAGAAAATTCTAAATACCAATATACTACACATATATGTTGTACGTCTTGCAAATATAATTTGTTAACCTAGTTTGATATAGTTTTTCAAAAAAAATTTGATTTAAGGTAGTATTATATTTAAATATTTTAAAGATAATCAGGTAATATCAACCGAGTAACACGAATAGTAGTGGTGTATGGTTTAGTATTAAATTATGAATATGAATGATTAGGTCACAACTGAGTATTAAGTACAATAAAATTTATGCAAACATGACGTTAGAAAATAACTAGACTTCGGGCTTTAGAACTTATAAATTCGGGTTAGCAAATCCAGCGTCATCACAACGAACCTTTTTATAATGAACTCATCTATGCTCTATAACAGTATAATAAACTTTTTTAAAAATATTTATTAGAGCCCAGCATCGGAATAGTAGTAACCTACTTCTATAATAGAGATGGGCAAGGTAATTACTTATTACGTAAAAAGTTAAATCACACTATGCGTCAATTTAGCATGTTATTAGTTGTAAGTATATGTTATTAGTAAATTGTCGCATAATGTGATTTGATTTTTTTACGTAATAAGTAATTACCTTATTCATCTCTATTCTATAAGGAACATCAAAATTTTTATTACGTATAACGATAAGAACTGTCAGTTCATTATACGAAAGTTAACTAACTGTGTACATATGTTGTTATTCATATGCCGACAAAAAATAAAGAGGGATGGGGTCCCGTAGCCTAGTGGTCTAGGCGCCTCTTCCTTTACAGACAAGGTTAACGGTTCAATTCCAGCTGGAGGCAACTCTGTAATCTACGGAAGCATATGAATGTATGCGAAGCCTTGTGATTAAGTCCATGTGATTAGAAGATCAGTATATAAGGAAGTTCCTGGAAAAAAGATTTCTGATATGGAGAGTTGACACTCGATACGAGAGAAGTGGTGAACATACCAGAAATGGAGAGAAGGTGCACTAGCAGGTGATATGGTGAACATAAAAGGAAACTATGAAAAAGGAATGGACTTACCGAAATTCGAACATTTCTGGCATCAAACCGGTTCTAGTAGATACGGGATATATTAAAATTAGATAAATCTAAGGGGTAATCTTGGTATCATACTTAGTAAGTTTGCATCGAGGGTAAATTCAAAAGGACTATGGATACTTAGTAACATTCAATATGGTGGGATTTAGATATAAATAGTAATTAGATAGTCCTAACCTGTTCTATTATAAACATGGTAGTATACATTGTGTATATATGCAGTTAAGTATTGAAAATCAGAAAGTTTAAATAGGTGACTCACAAGCGGGTTTCAGGTATGGCATCTAGTGAGTAACCTATGGGCAGCACTCTTAATTAGATAATGTCTAAAGTTATACATGTAATTAGTTGTACTTTTGTTGATATATTCTGTATATAATATGTAATCTTATACTACTACTAATAAAAAGACACACAGGCGAGACTGCTCTTAAAATAAAAAAAAAAAAAAAATAAAGGTGGCTCATATGCAGAAATACAAGAAAACAACAGATTCATGCTATAGTGAAGTTCCTACTATACCTATAACCTCAAAAATATTATATAATTAATTCTATTATATCAAGAGTTTACTCTAATAAAGGTAAGCTGTATTTGGATACTGGTTCTTTTCGTATTTAACTCATGAGTATATTTTTAGAACTTTATAACCTTTTATGGCTTCATTTTAATTATTTATTTGGCATGATTGAAGGGCAATTCGTTTATAAATCTAATTATAATGAAAGTTTACTATAATGGGTTTCTTTGGACATAATGAACTTTGAAATTTTAATTTTATATTATTAAGTTTATTACATGTAGATTTTGTATACTTAATAATTCAATATAATTTGAACAATTTAATTTATGTTTACTGTTCATTTTAAATCTTAATCAAGTTTCTCTTTAGATCAAATAATTGATTATGAGGGCAATTAATTGCTATTTTTGCAGTTGTTTGAACAATGCAATAACTTAATAAAATATGTAATAATAAGAGTATATTTGAAGATATTTGACGTCAAAACTTGTAGTTTTTGAATTAAATTATATAATATTAATTTATATAGTACAACATTTTAACTCTTTTTTTTAAAATCAGTTTCAATGAATGCTGAAGTTCTAAATAAATATTACATAAATGCTTTTTTAAACCTTCAAATGATGATAAACATTAGTGTAATTTATATTCTTCCAGATCATAGCCGATATCAAAAAGATGCTTTTTTTAGAGCTTCAAATGATAATGAGCATTAATGCAATTTATGTTCTTCCAGATCACAGCCGATAATCAAAAAGATGTTCTTTTTAAACCTCCAAATAATGATAATCAGCTTAATTTATATTCTTTTGGCAATTCCTTTTTTAGACCTTCAAATGATGGAAAATACCAGTGTAATTTATATCCTTTCAGCCATAGTCAATAGTGTTCTTCTAGACTATTTTTATATATAATATATTATAAATACAGTATGCTAATTTTATATACTCAAATGCGATTTTAGTAGTATACACCACCACTTTACTAAACCATACATCACTACTATTCGTAATATCGTATAAAAAGATACAAAAAGACATTACTTTTGGTTTTATGTAAAGCAGATTGTTTATTAATGAAATTAAGATCATGTTAATACTAGAAAATGAAACAGAATCTTTAATAAGTTTGTATTAAGTTAAGTTTTCTTCTAATGGATTCTTTATATTAGCAAAATTTTTAAAGATTATACAGTATATAATTAGTTTTTTTTTTTTTTTTTTTTTTTTAAGAATACAGTATATAATTAGTAATTTCTTAAATTATCATTAATATATAGTGGCCTACCATATAAGTGTGGACACTTTTTAAAAAATTATAACAAGCTAATTAAAAAAGATATCAAGCTAAAAATAATATTATAAATTTATTAAATCTAAAACTTTTAAATAAAAAAAAGATTATA